GACATTAATAGACATGGAAACTAAAAAAAAATTCCCACTATACGCTACTGATGTAGAAAATGAACAGTTTGAATATTATTTTTATTATCAATTTAACAAGCTTTTATAATACTAAATTTGATTCAAACTTTAACACTCTGTAATTTTTTTTATCTAAGCATAATTTACTTATATCCAATTACTGTTACCCAAGGAATCTGTAGTTGCTGTATAACTACTATTTTCTGGAACACCCAGTATAGTACTCTTGAGAAGTATTGTAAGGAACGTTTCTATGCAAAAAATTGTATGATAATATACTGTCATAGAAAGTCAATATTCCTTCCCAGGTTTATTCGAATAAATGCGCAGATTAAGTAAAACTTGGTAGATATAACTTTCTTTTAAATTGAACTAATATCTGCACAGTTTTATAAAGAATAACGAGAAGGACAAATAAGTACTGAAGGTTTCAAGAAAACAAAAACATATTTTACATCTCGTGACGACCTAATACATCTGTTGGTTTGGGACCCAATAATCCGTTACGACCAAGCTTATGGACCCACAAGACAAAAAAGAGTCCATTATAAAAATAATGACAGTAATAGAGGTCAATTATCCATAACAATTTCAGTATTCATAAGCAACGTTCTGTTTAATTTGATTTGTAAATGAGAGTCTGGCTATTAAAAAGTATACGTTGGTTTGAAACAAGCCAATAATAATAAGTGTATCTTGCAAGCATGTTATAGTTAGCTCGCGGCTAGCCGCCATCTTGCCACCGCCTCTGCGCATTCTTAATACCCCGCATATATCATTATGGACACACTTCGCGTAGGCACTCTAATATTCAGAACTTTTGCCACAATCTGCACGAAGAAGCACCCCAGCAGTCTCGCCTCGTTTTGGAAATTTGCAGTCCTCGCTCCAGTCTGACGGTGGACTGAACTAGCTCTGGCTTAAGGCTAAATAATATACATCGCTCCATATAGATTATAAAGCTATTTTACATACTAGTAGCACTCTTGGGTTCTAATATATCATTAATTTTTGAAGGATTCGATTTAGTCCAGGCTGCTACCTATCGATTGGGATCGAATTACTGGTCGTTGCTAATTTATCCGTAATCTGTCTGTAGCGTTAGTTTTTTTGTAAAATTTTGTAAACTTTTAACACTGCCTGGTCTCAGTTATACCAGGTGGATATAACATTATGTTTCGTCATTGAATAAAATTGAATGTTGTTAATACAAATTACAAATAACAATGATATAAATTATAGTAAACAGCGTAGGTTTCAAACAGAAAAACAGTTTATTTTCAATAAATTTAATAAAAGCACATAAGAAATAATGACTCAATATTAAGTATTGTTTCACTATGATATAATAATGTACGTGTTTATTGTCACTACAAATAAAAAGAATAAAAAATAAAAACTACAGAACAGTATTGATTTAAATGTTTACTGATATTTTATTTCAATGCAGATTAACTGAGTTACTTTGACGCCTCCAGGTATAAGAATATAATAATTCTTCATTCTGAATAAATCATAAGAAACTTGTTCAGGCATCAAATAGAGCAACTTCAGAGCAATATCTTTAGCTGCGTAAAAGAGAAATTGAAGTATCTAGTATTTGAAAGCATATTTCACACGCAGTTCATACAGGTGATGCATAACATACCGGATGTTTCAATTAAAACTTCCCGCTTTGAAAATATCGGAGTTAAATAAAACCAAAAAAACTGAGACAAGTCTTCAAGAGGGACATATGATGGCGTAAGTTTTGGTGTCTTCAGAATATATTTTATTAAATGTTCAAATTGGTTTCCATCCGCTTCCATACAATAATGAAATCTTTACTCCTCTTTTGAACAAATATTTCGGGCTTTCAACAATTCGCCGACGAAGCTCCTCAAGTGAGTTCGATCGTGTTGCATAAATTTTCGCCTCTAAATGTTCCCATAGAAAAAAGTCTAAGGGCGTTACATCTTGCGATCTAGGAAGCCAATTGAACTTCGGTGTCCTATCTAGTGATTTGGGACGTTCTGATTAAGAAAATCATCGGGTAGATATTCGTTTGCAGTATTTTGCAGATTTAGATACATGTTTCCATCCAGATTTTCCGGTAGGAAGAAAGAAAGACCACCTCATAGGGCCTTATGAGGTGCCCAGTATGCCCGTCCAAACATTCAATTTCCTCGGATGCTGCGTTTAAGTTTCATGAAAAATGCGTCGATTTTCATCACCCTAGTAGCGGCAATTATGGCGGTTGACTCGACCATCCAGTTGGAACGTACAATCATCGGAAAAACAGATTGAGTAGGTACAAAAATCTGGATTTCTTCGAGCACGATTTCTCATTTCTTCACAGAACTGCGAGTTGCGATCAGGATCGTCTTCATAAATTTCTTGTAACAAATTAATTTTGTATGGGTGATACTTATGATTTTTAAGATTCGGTTGCAACTAGCTATAAAAATTCCTGAAGTACTTGCACGTTTCCTGATACTCAAATTTGGTTCCATTGTGATGTGACCCAGGACAGCTACCTGATTATCTTCATTACGTACGACTTGTTTACGTTAATGCTTTCTGTTTGCAGCCCATCCAGTTTCCGAAAATTTATGCACTAAATACAGGACGTACCAATACGAAGTGTTTTTGTCAGAATAACGATCATTAAAAATCTGTGCTGCCTGCCGTGCAGAGCCATTATTCTTGTAGAACAAACTAATTATTTCCACTTTTATAGCAATTGTGTAAGCTATTTTCAAGAATTGGTATTAAATCGACTTTGTGATGATTTTACGGGATATTGTCTAGACAAGACAAGACGAGACAATATTGTCCCGTTTAAAGTAAAACAGGTTGAAATGTTGAACTGATAGAGTATGAAGTTTTTGTATTGACCGGTAAACGAAAAATCTAAACAAATTTTTTTTATCGAGAAATTGTTGAAGAATATCGTCAGATAACGCCAGAAAAGCTTCGAAATGTTCGTTCGGAAATGGAGCAAAGATTTTATTATTGTATGAAAGAGGAGCGAAATTAATTTGAACACAATAAAATAACATTCATTGATATTTTGTTTTATTCTTAAAGTGATGAGTCATATCCAAACCAAAATTTAAAAAGTCGTTTGTCGTCGTGAGCAGAAATGAAAAAGCTTTAAAATGAGGTGCCACTCAACATAGTGTGCCATTTAAAGTTTAAGGGCCTGCTGAAGAGATAGCCTCCAAGAAACCAAAATCGACATGTCAGGTTTTTTTTTATTTTTTTTTAATTTCGATATTTTCCAGGTGGGAGGTTTTAATTGAAACACCCTGTATATAAGGTAATATATTGCATACGCTAAATACCTAAGGTTCACATAGTTTTGTATTTTAGCGTAAACTAAACTAAAACTGTACTGAGGAACAGTACAATATATTTTTTCACTAGGCTATGCTAAGGGTGTATTGAATACAAGTACCTAGTCGACGTTGTGAAAGGGACACGTTAAAACGAAAAAGGTTATGATTTTTCGGACTACAATGAGATACTTTTGTATAAATGATATCATATCTGTTGTACATAACACGAAACAACAGTACGTGTTTTTTTTATTCCTCATTTCTATACTTATGTCAACGACCTGGTCATTTTTTCTATTAGTTCAATTCAGGATTGTGTCACTTCAAGGTGATTTAATAGTTTGTTTTTAAATAGATGTACGCAGAATAAATTTTCAAAAGTATGATGTAGTGGACATATATAAACCACTACTCAACTCGAAACTAACTTTTATCAATCGTATATATAATATCAACAATGCCTCTAAAAGTTGTTATTACTAAATTAAAATATATAAAAAAGTTTTATTTAGTTAGTAATATGTACCTATTGGATATAATATTTAAGTCAACTTCTATGGTTACATAATTTTTTAAGCTGGATAGAGAGAATTTAGCAACTTCTATGGTTAAATAATGTTTTAGGCTGGATAGAGAAAATTTAGCTCTCTTAAGAAGAAATTCTGAAACTGCAGATTAAGTTCTTTGGCCGGTAGTTACATTTGCTATGAGCATTGGTCCACGGCATTCTAATGTATGTTTTAAAGTCAATGGTCTGCGACGTTTCAGTGCATGATTTTTACGTCTTACTGTTCTGGCAGTTCCAGATAGTTCTAAGCTAATTCTAAGAATTTGAGAACCACTCATATGTAAATATCAAAGAGGTCTCAAATTCTCTGGCTAAGTAACCCAATTCCAGTATTTCTACTGATAAAAAAGCAATACATCTTTTGAACTGTCAAGTAATTTAAACAGACTATATGTCAATTAAGTCATAAATTGTTTAACTATTTTTGATGACATCTTACCATCAGTTTTGTAACGTAATAATGAGTCTCTTATTCGGAAATTTCTTCATCATCGCTTTTATAAAAAAAAAACTTGGAAATCTGTAATGACTAATCTTTAGGAAGTGTTTCCTTGTAATAACGGTAAAAGGAAACAAATTGGAGCAAAGCATAAAGCATTAAAGAAAATGAAAAGGGGAACTACATAGATACCCTTCCGAAAAAAATTTACTTTTTACTTATTGCCCTGTAGTTCTGTGCGCAATTCATAAATATTAGCCAAACATATGATTAAGATAGTCTCGGTAGGTAATGAATAAGCCTTGGAAATGATAAAAATAAAATAACCTCAACAGAAACAGTAAAAATGACTATTGCATGATCAATACCTGAAACTTACTTTTAGTAGTTTTCAGTAACAAAGTCGTAGAAACTGAAAGTGAAGATTAAAAAAAACGAACTTTCTAAATAATAAAGTGGATGAATTAAGTTCTAAGAAACTAAGAATTATTTTTGATTTTTGATCATTGCGTGGTATTTATAATTATACTTTGAATAAATAATATTTGTACATATGTTTTCAATGTAAAATACCTATATTTCGAAACAAAAAGAACTCTTTTAATTGGAAGCTTTTTATTTATATACAATTTTTACATATGACATAGTACGTAATACAAAAATATATTCATCTATATAAATAGTAAGATTTTGATAACAAATAACATAAATTAACTTAACTAGAATCACTTACAACAATTTGTAAAATTTTTGTATAATTTATGGATAATTTCAGCCCTTGCGCGTTCCATTTGGCTTCCCTAAAACCAACGAAAATGAAATAAATTAATTTTTTTATATTACAAAACATAACAATAAAATTTTGACAAACACAATATTTATTTTAAATAAAAATTTTGTCTCAACAGAAAGCCGTATTTTAAAAAATAAATATTGCATCTGATGAACATATTTAAACTACATCATATATACAAATTGTATAAAAAATAAAATCTCAGCAATGAAGAAGAATAATCTAGAAATATGAAATAGAGATGTTAAAATGAGTTACTTTTTGAGAAAAATATACCCAAAGTTATAATTTTAAGTGGTCTCTAACTTCTTAAAAGAAGTAAATAATAGGTTACAGTGTTGAATTAGAAAAAAATAGAAATAGAATGAAACTGAAAACATTAAACAATTATAAAATCAATTAGAAAAAGATATGAAAAGTAATATAATAATGAAACAGTAAACATCCAGAAGTTATGCGACTGAAAATGAGAGGAAATTTGTATATGATAATAGGGGTAACCTAGGGGGTTACAGCACGTGGAAAATGAGCTCATTAAAATTATTTCTCTTGATATCTCTCTAGTTCAAGATAAAACATTGGTAAATGAAAATGAATATTACTATTAGGTTTTGAAGCAATTCTGTTTATTTCTAAATTTCAATTTCAATACAACGTTGTTCTTAAAATTGCTGTAATGTTTTCATGTATGAATTTTTCCATTGTTTAATTAAAAAATTATAAATTTTAGATAATTTCACAGTAAAAAGTGCTATTATTTCGATGGAATGAAAATAAAACCGATTTAAAAATTACATTACATCCCACAAAATGTTTGTTCTAAATTATAAACCACTTAAATATCGAATTATTTACTTAGGTATTAGTGTCATTATAGTGGGAAAAAGAAATAATATAGAAAATAAAAAATTATTCCAGAAAAATAGCTGCTTATCACAAGATAAAAGAGCTTTATTAATATTTATATGATTTTTATTTTCGTATTTCCCAAATAAAAGCTTTTTTGCCCTGCTATTTCCTTAAAAATTCAATAGGTATTTATAAATTTTTATACACTTAATAATATACAATATTAATTTTAACAGTCACTCTTGAAATCTTTTATATCTTAAAGAATATTAAGAATGGATAGTTAGTTCAAATTCAGTTTCACAGTATTTAAATCGATTTTACTCCAAAGTGATGTAAACTATTCAAATTAGTAAAATACTGCTCGTGAATTTTGTGACACCGTGTTATAAGAATAATAAATGGGAAAGATTTTGAAATTCAAAGATGAAGACAATATCCAAATAAAAAAAACAATGCACAGAAGCATGAATTTGGAGAGGTAGATTGAACAATATTATTCAATTTACATGTTTTATTTGCGATATCAGTTAGAATACATATATTTAAAATTAATTCTCTTTTTGTTAAGCATACTCTTACAAAGATTTGTTATTTAAACCCAATAAAAAGAGACAATCAGGGACACAGTTTGGAGAGAAGAAATAAGAACTCAGCTTGATATTCGCACAGTATCATTAGTTAAAAAGTAATGGTCTAAATTGAAATCATGGGGTGTCGTAAATAATTGTGCGGTTATTCTTAATCTTAATCTTCCAGATGAAGTTTGTGATGCTACTGGTATTAATAACTATTTTATTGATTCTACACCTAATTTCAATACCGATAATACATATAACACGACAACGTATTTTATAATTGTAATTTTGAAAATACATAGTCTACAGTTTACGTATCACCATGTAGATATAGATAAAATAGAGAATTTAACTGACAAACAGATGCCTTATGCGATGGGACCTGATTGAACTTCGGGCAGAATACTTGAAATTATTTTTAAAATGTGTATCGGTACCAATAAGGCATATTATTAACGTTTCCTTAGAAATAAGTCAGTTAGGATAAAATGGTAAAATTTCATGTATTATGCCAGTTTCAGAATAAAAATCTGTTCGATTAAAAATTGTGGATTATGTTTCTTTGTATTTTTCATTATTGCCGAAAATTCACCGATTTCTCTGAAACAGTCTAGTTTCGTAAAGGATTCAGTTCTTTAACGCTGATAACTGACATGAGTTATAAAATATTGAGAATATATGAAAACAGTCAGGTTTTGTTCATTACTTATTAGCCTTACTAAGATATTTGATTCGATTAACATTAATTACTTAATTGCCGAATTGTATTATTATCATATAATTAGGTATTACTGGAAAGTGTTTTCTTGGTTTTGTAATTATATGCTGGGTATATACAGGCGTTTCCATCCTGACACTATAATATATGTCTCCCTCTAGGTTCTATTTTAGGAACTTTCTTATTCAACATCTTTCCAGTGAATTTACCAAACATTCCTTTTTATGTATGCTGCTCCTTTACAATTTTTCAGCACATAATTTTGCAACATAATTGTATAAACAGTTATTCTATTGGACTCATAAAAATGCTTCATTAATTAACTCTGTCTTGTCTGTCTTTATGACATCGTGTTCGTTAAGACATATGAATACAGAGGAAGTAAACTTTTTTAATAACCCTAAAGTTTTTTAATCATGTAATTAATATTTACAGAGAGGCTTATTTTTTTTTAAAGTTGTATTCGTTTAAAAAATATTTAGAACTGGATACTATAATTTTACTAATTGAAACCGAGGTCCTCTCTAGATTAGGCAGATATCATTTACGGTTGCTGCCTCTGTCAAGTTGACTAACGTAGATTACAAAGAATTCTTAAGAAGAGTTCTTCTGTTGAACATTGTATACTTAGATATATTTACACATACATGCTTATTATTCCTCATTTACGCAGTGTTATTTTGTTTAATATACCCGAAAAAAGGTTAATTCATATCGTTGGTTTCATACCCAATGTTATAAACAAAAGTCCAAATACAGATAATAATAGATAGAATATAAAGATAATAATCATTTAATATTCCTTTACAAGATTGTGTTATTTAATGACCTTTTTAATAACCTTTTTCAATTTATAATGTTTAATTAAGCATTAATTTTCAGTTTAGATAATTATATACTATTAGATGTTTACTTGGTATAATTAAATACTAGTCGGGATATGTAGGCAGTAGAGTAGTTGTTTCCCGCAATATTATCAGTTCAGGATTTCGTCTATGCGGTACATTTTACATAAGTACTTAAATTTTTGACATCGGTGTTAATTGTTTTACTTCATTTAAAATGATTTTTTTTGTTTTGAATATTTTTAGGTTATCTGAATTATCTTAATACCTTTAAAATACAATAATTCAATTTATTTTAATTTTTCCACAAATACATTTTGGGAAATTTTTTATTCTGAAATTTCTTAAATAATTATACTTTTTATCTTCATCATATGAATTTTTAATTATATATTTGTAAATAGGAACGCGAAAATAAATGGTTCTCGTTCTAATTGAAAAAGTTTTTTGTGTACACTCAACCATTAATAATAATCCTCGAGTAAGTCAGGTTCTTCCATACAACCCACAAACTTCATCACATCACCAAATTAAATGAAGCATTTGTGGGTGTTCCTAATACCACTTTTTAAATTCATTTCTACTCGGCCGGTCTTCCATCCACGTATTCTCTATTAACTTTAATCTCGACTCGACGGACGTTAAAGGACAAGAAACCAAGGGCGTGAGGCGCACCTTGTAATTTGTTCCAAAGTAAATTGAAATACTGAAGTAGCCAAAATGCTGAAAACAAAAGGAATATCGAGAAAGGACGTTGGACGGAATCAGTGGCGTAGGTACGTTCAGTTTATTTTCGCTACAAATAAAATCTTAAATTGTACTAAAAATGTCATGATATGAAAAGCATTTGGTATAAAAACGTTTTTAAAATTAATACAAAATGTGGGTCAAACTGTTAACCTCTAATTATGTGGATGAAAATAAGACTATTCGTAAGCAATTGGGGCTTTTCTTTTTCAAGACATGGAGTCCAAATTACAATTAAAAAAATATTTTTATTAATTAAATTTGTGTACTCTTTAAGGTATTAAAATGTTTGGCACATAATTTTACCTTACCTATGTCTATGTACTTTAATTTCAAAATCATAGGGTTTATGATACGTTGTTAAAAAAAAATAAGGAAAAAAAAATGTGTGTTACGAACAAATTTTATTTTTTATTCTAATATTGAAAATTTTCCGGCAAATTGCGCAAATACAATTTAATTGCTTTTTGCAATATTTAAACCAGTACATATTTTTTGTGGGTGATATATAACTTATAAAGCATATGTTCCATCTTAAATATCAATGATACTCAATATTTTCTGGCACAAAATATTACCTTCTACCTACTGGCAAAGAGTGACCTACTGATCTGTAGGTACTATGACATTATGGCTTATTTTCGCAGTAGGTGAAATAAACTTTTTAACAAATGTACTGTAGTAAACAACTACTTTGCGATCTACAAACTTAGTCTAGCATTGAATCGCACCCCCAATATCCTATGACGGATTGGTACTAGTATGGCACACTGATGAGAACTAACAAGCTCAAAACCGGTCTATGTCTGTGATACTACTGACGCATGACCTTAGTTATTTATTAGATATTGAGGGTGTAATTCAACGTTGGACGGAGCAGGTAGCTTACAAAGTAATTGTTTTCCACAATACCTATTAATTAACAACATTTTTTTACTAAGATCTGTAACTTGAGACATTAAGACTTTTGAACCAAAAATTATCCAAGATTAATCGACTTATAATTCTAGCTTAAAAAAAGTTTTGTATAATGACTAGCACAGAAAGTTATTAACAACTTGACAATTCGTCACAGATAATAACAATTCAAAGGCACTTATTTATTCAGTTCGATTCCTGTTCTGAATATTTTAAAATTGTTACAGTAAGTATTACTACAAAGGCGGCATTCGTATATTCTATCGCACTTTCAAACATCCAATTCAACCGAAGTCTTAAGTTGCGTAAGTCTTAGAACTATTCCAGATATTTTAAGAATATATTTAATATT